ATTGTGCCTGGGTTTTTTTTAAAAGATACCTACAGCATAGTGCTCTCTATCCTTTTAATTTGAGAATTACTGGTTTACCAATAGGAGGGTACTGTTTAGCAGAGCTACTTTGATATTTGGAATGTAAGAAAAGTTTCAAAAAACTTATAAAACTCACCTGTAAGTTAATTGCAACATTAGCATAATATTGCTGACTGAAAAGCGATACATAGTACAAGAACTTTTATTACTCAATTATGTTCGCGAACACTGGCAAAATTATACAATGTGCTATCTTTTTGTCGCGGAGTGTATCTATAAGAAATACTATAGTTTGCCAAGGAGACACCATGGAATAGTATTTACAATACGTATATTTTTCTGTTAATCCGTACAAAATCGTATTGAAGCGAGGGTTCGTTCGTACGAGTGGGATTATAAGAATGCGCTCCTGTCACAGCAGACCTACGATTAACCTCAATGCTGTCTACATACTGTAGAATTTATTTATTAAAAATCCCATGTGTTGCCGCGGTAGGGAATAAAAAAAGAAAAGATACACTTACTTGGTAACAGTAACAAAAATCTAAAGAACCTTTATTTCAATATAACTCGCTGACTCGCTAAAAAGAAAACACGCCGCTCGCTCACACGCTCAGGGTTACTCGTCAACTGTCCCGCGTTTTCCCTATCCTCCGTCCTCGTGTTGTCTTTCCCTTTTCTTCCATCCCTTTTTACACTCAGTCACTCACTCACTCACTCATTCGTTACCCTTAGCCACGCAAAATTCCTAGGCAGTAAACCCAGGTCATCCGAAAACGTCCACTCTGTCCCAAACGCTCTTCATTCACGCTCCACGGTTTTCCAAACCGTTTGCAGGCATACGTCCTCATCCGTTCAGCGATTTACAACATCCACTCTGACTCATTCTAACTTTCACTCATCTGGAAAAACCCTACAATACCTACTGCTGTATACTCTTCCTAACTCGTGGCAGTGTACCTAAAACGCTTCGAACCCCTGTGAATTGGATTCTTCGCCGTCAATAAATATACATGCCCAAGTTAAAAAATGAGATTCGGTGTCCCATGACCCTGTTACTCAAAAGCTACCACTCACGGTTTCATGCGGTCAACAGCTACGACCGTCTGTTCCTTCTTCTCAATGCCTTACATACCAAAACCGCGAAAGTCTTATATAACATTTTTGATAGTTGAGGTTTTTTTTATAAAATTGGCATAATTATCTTCTTTGACGTGTTTTGTTGGTAGTTTTGAACCCAATAAAAACGTTTAGGTATTTTGTTCCTTATCCGTTACTATAAGCTCGTTAAAAATGGGACTTAGAATACTCATATATTATATTGAATCAAATATACTTAAAAAAAAAAGAAATGTAATAATATCAAATAAAAAGATGATCGAAAGATCACTTCATTTGCATTTTCTTGTTAGAAAATGTCCGAAAGCAACCAGAATTGCGAAACTTTAAATTCGAACTTCTTAAAAGAAATTCTCCTTTTGATGAACGTATGTGCGTACTTTTTTGTACAATATAGTAAAAACAATATGGATATTTAATTCATTCGAATATCGTTATCACCTTTTAACCCTGGTATACAGTTTACCGGAACAATTGGCGAATGGTTTTTGTAAAACTTTTAAAATATATTTTTGAATTTAATTTTAATATTAACTGAACGTAACCTACGAATATGAAAATAATTACTTTCAATTACGCTGACTAAGGTATGTAATAATTCAATGTATACTCGGAAAACACCTTTATGATATTTTCGCGCGAACTTGCAGAAAATCTGTCTAATTGCCAATTACTTTCTAATTACAGGAAGTCAGTTTAGTGACAACACACCTCCTGTAATGTCGATTGACCGAAATTTGGTGCTTCGGGACACTGAGCCCGTGGGAAGCGTCGTGACAAGGGCACGCGCCGAGGATAATGAACAGGATCAATTAACCTACGGTCTGGAATCCATTGGCCACAACTATAACGGAGACGACAGTCCTCAGCCACCTCTCCCCTTTTCCATTGACAATAGCACCGGCATTATCTACGTCAACGAAACGCTTAAAGGCAGAGTAAGTGTAATTTTTAATCCTGTGTAAAATTAACTTAGTAATTAGAGAATTCTCGGGACAGGAGCTCGCTTTTTCATAATCATTAGAAGCTTGCGGTTAACCCTTCTATCATTTTCTGTTTATTTTATTCTGCTAAACCTAGGAGTAAGAATACATGTTCAGTTATACGATATGAAATGTTATCCATTGCGTGCGTGACATAAACTATATGAACTTCCCGCATGCTACGTATATTTGTCCTATTAGAACAAATATTTTGTAGAGAACATGTGTAGCAACTTCTAGCAATACCCATTTCTCATCAGAATCATAATGTGATGACCAAAGTATAATTATTATAATACAATGATCTATTTATCATTTTTATATTGTGCAAGTTATTTGCAGGAAATACTAATCTTTTACACTTGAAAACAGAGAAAATATAAACATCGTGCGATTAAGAATTGAAGAAATAAAAATAAATTTGAAATGTCTTGTTTTTTCTTGAAACGACTGTTTTTAGAATTTTATAAGATATGCAGCGAAAATACTGTACAACTGTACACTTGAATATATTTGTGTAAGAACTGTAAAGAAATCGAAACGGATACAGATAAGGCGTTTCGCTTGATAAGCACTTATAGTTACGATTTAAGTATATTAATCTATGTGTTTAAAAATAAAACACTAGGTATATGAATACCATATACAAAACATATGTAACAAATGACACATATATAAGTATTATATATTTATAAGTATTATAGATACTTTTCTTTTACATTTCTTTATGATTTGCTTGGAAAAGAAAGAAATAGATTTTTTAAACATTTTAAATATGTTCGGATACACTAATGGAATGTACTTTAAAAACATTACCAGTAAATCTACGAAATATGTAGAAATTATTTTTGATATTAGGAAAATATAATTTGTTTATAACAACAACTTAAATCAAATGGAATTAAATTAAAGTGGACAATATGGTCCCCGATTACCAAACGATAAACTAAAATACAACTAAAATAATCAATCACTAAGTTTCAACTTCTCTATAACTCCATGATATCACTTCTCTATACAACTTAACATTTTTCATGTTTTACAACTTTACCCTGACTTCCCTTACAACTTTCTTATCAGTCACTCTCTTAACAGCATACCCTTTTTAAGAAAAATCCCTAACAGGTTCACGGATCCTGCAACCCAGAAAACTTTCTTGTCGGATTTCCACTACCTCTTTTAATATTTCATAGATCACGTCTTCCTCGCAACTTTCTCTTTTACAGCAAAATATGGTTTTAGGTTGCAAATACATATTTGTTCTACAACCATAGTAGACAAAACAAAAAATTATTCTTGTGCCAAATGACTAGTGTTTGACGATTCCAGCCCATTGCGCGCCGGTTAAAAGTAGGCTACATTCCTCTACATTAAAAATTCGAGTTCCCTTAATGGTATTTAGTACTAAATGTTAATCACTTTCTGTAAATTCATACGTGTAATGTATAAAGTAAAATAGAAGATACATGATTTCTCAATTTTTTGTTTGTCTCTTCAAGAACATATCTTATCGTTAGTATTAGTTATTAGATAATGCGATAATATGTACATACCTACATGCTATTGAGTTCTATAATGTCTTAGTGAAGTTGCAGAAAAGCAACATCCTTCCCGATTTCAATGATTTTTGAATATGTTTTAGAAGTCAACATTCTACACAACTTTTACCTTTTCATATGGATGGCGATCGGGCCAACTAGAAATTATTGAGATGTTATTAAAAACTTTCGATACAGTACACTTGCATCGAATTCTGTGTATACAGATGTGACTAATACAACGGTCGTTGCTGTAGCAGATATCGTCGGTGAACCGTTGAATGAATAGCGATATCGACCTTACTATATATAGGGTGCTCCAAGAAATATCGGTTATGTAGCTTCAATCGCTAAAGGCCAAGGATACAAACTGGAATTACGAAATGAAAACGTTACACCTGGAAAAACTAGCCCCATTGATACGTACCAATCTACGTTATCTAAATAAAACTTATTTCTATACAATATACGAAACTGATTTTAGATGGATGACCCTACATACACTGAAATTGCACTTCACAGTCGACGGCAACGGCTCTTATAACGGAGACCATTTTAACAGTCATGTCCATATATATTTTATATTTTTTACATAGAATTTAAACTAAAAACTAAGCCCGACCGCCACTTATATGAATGAGTAAGAGTTGTTCAAAGTATTGATTTCTACAAGCTACTAAAAAATAATTGAAATCGGGGAAGAAGCAGCTTTTCTATAATTTAACCTGCGTTGTGACTTTAATTAGAAATTCATAACCGAAAAGGGTATTCAGGACACAATTGAATAATATATTTTTTTTGTAAGTGCACCGATACATTTTCAAAAAGGCAGTCTTGTTTTAACCTTTTAGCTATTGTGCGCCACTATAGTGGCTTTCATGTATATCATCCTTTTGAACGGTACGCCACTATAGCGGCAGAATTCTTTCTTTGTCATCGATAGCTGTACACATTGTAGTCTAATCTAATTGCACAGTGGAAAATTCTGTCGGGCTAGTAGTGTCATCAACAAATAAAGTAACAACAATAGTAGAAGTAACAATAAGTAGAAGCGTATAGGTTTTATAAAGTTAAACGGAGAATTCAATTTTATTAACTTCTAAATGAGTTCATTGTACCAAACTGCACTATAAGCTTATTCGAAATCTAATAAAACCATGATTGACACTCTATTGGTGTTTATACTGTCTATATGATGTGCTGTTACATATCATGTCAGTTGTTTTTTAGTGTTTGGCAATCTTTCCTAGACTCTCTCAATCCGCCATTATTGCCACCATGAAATCATGAAAAGTGTAATATTAACATAGAATTGCACGCTGCGACATCAAACGTAGCAAAGAAAAACGCGCTATTTTTCAATAATGTACAGATTAATGCTCACATGCGTTGGACTTCTACGTATAAGGTTACAGTTACATCGGATGCTTATTTGGATGATCGTGTACTAGCTGATCGTGTACAGACGAAACAGTCAAACACTGTTACAAACAATATAAGCAGTTACACGGTACGCGTATTGGTTGTCTGATGTTTTATAACTTTGTTAATTATTAAATAATTTTCCAAATCAGGTTGACTTTTTGTGCGATTCATCACATAAATGGTTTGCAGCGATGAAAATAATTAGAGTCTACGATTTGCAAATCTCAAGGTTTTAGACTGAAAATCTTCTTTGAAGTTTACAAATTGTAAGTTAAGAATTACTATATTAGCTAACACCTGCATTTTAATATTCTAATCTTTTCGTTATTAATAAAATGTATAATAAATTACCGTTTCAAAACTAATACAGTCAAATCAATCTTATAAAATGTACATCACAGAAATGCGAGTTGATCGTCTATATATGTTTCCAATGTAACCATTATGTGAGTGATAGTATTTGCCTTTCTCGGTAAAGGTTTTGGTAATTATTTATTTTGGGGTATATTTCCAATGTTAATGTATTTTGTAATTGTTTTCTGTACATATAACTGCTGCTCGGCCGTAGATTGAGAAATATATATAAAAGTATTTGCAACACTGCATGCGGTTTCTGATAAAGTAACGTCGGTGTAACTGCTTCGTAATTATGGATGAGGTATCTGGCGACACAACTGCACTGTTCGTAAACAACTACAGAGGAGATATTCTCCAAATGTGTTTCTCCGTGTTTACACTTGTTGAGTAATAAAAAAAAACCAATATTATATTCGATATCACCTGTCAATAAAATGATACTTCTTAGAAAACAACAAAAGTAGTTAAAGACTAGACCAAAGAAGGACATTATTAAAAGAATGGTGAAGACTAATAAGGAAGAACGATAAATAATATGAATATAGAAGCTCCAGAGAATAATACTGCATTTATTGCAATGAAAATGGGTTTATTCACCCACCTTCAGGAGATTGGATTCAATGCAATCATTGCAAAGAGTGGCGTTACGAAAACTGTGCCAACAGAAGCGACGTAAAAAGATAATATATTTGCGATAAATGTGTCAACAGTTGATTCTATTGTTTAAGGTCACGTTTTCGATATTTCAGGGTGTTTATTATTTTTTAATATTTGTTCTATATTCATATAAAGCTGAAAGGAGCGTAATTTAATGACCTTGACAACTATATCGTCTTGCTTATACAGTTTTGAGTAATATTCGATAATATGCCCTAACGTTATCGCGGTATTACTAATTCATGGATCTATACTGATACGTATCTCTCTTGTTGCTAATAACGCGTATTGTAAAGTGAACGTACGTTTTCGTACATATCTATGAATCAGTGATACCACGATAATATTATATTAGGACATATTAGTGTAAACTTCTCGAAACTGTATAATAGAAAGAGTGTGTTTTCTTTCTTGTGTTTTCTAATTTCCTAAGTCTATGCGATAAATAATATAGGGTTCCATTTAATAAACTAACGGTGACATTCAAAAAAGTGATCTCGAAAAAGTGATCTTGAAAAAACATTCTTTGGCGTTATAAAAATTACTCTCTTGAATGATACAACTTTATCTTCAAAAATTTTGTTTACTCATAAATAATTAAGGTATTTGAGTGTTCCTATTTAGGTGAGCCACCTTGTATGTCTATCTTTATACAATATATACTTATATTTATATATACAGCTCTAGCGGACAAGTTACGTTGGAACAAAGCGCACGGATTATGGCAGTTTCTTTTAGGGCGATGAAGAACGTAACATGAACCGCATATGGTTGATGCTCAGGAATTGAACAACGTTTCTTGCTTCTTCGTTCCAGGGAGGCCAGAACCTGTTCCTCTACGTGACCGTCTCCGATGGTCAGCTTACGACAAAGACTGAGGTCTACGTCACCATTAAAAACACTTCGGGTCCCAATGGAGGACACACCAGGTAGGTTAACTGTCAGGGACAACATCGGTGAACCGATTAAGATAAGAGACGCGATCATCTGAATTTACTGTTTTCTATAACTCTACAGACTATAATTTTCATAATGCAGCTAAAAGCAAACATTAATGCTTAATGTGACCTACTATACAATTAAAATAAACATGTGTAAATATTATAACGGAATTGGTTATCGAAAATTTTATGTAAACAAATAAAAGGAAGGAAATAGCTGCAATATTGTATGTTAAATGGTCGTCTACAGGTAACATAGCAACACTGAATGTTCAATCAATTTTTTAAAATTATGCAATAGATTTAACGATCAAAGAAGTTACGAAGTTCCAAAAGAATCTTATTTTAAAGCTCTTAAGTAAGGCTATTATATAGCATATTAAACTTAAAACCTCTTTATAACTGCGGATGAATTAAAGATATCGAAAGCTTTGTAATTATTTAAATCGAGCTCCATCGTGAAATGGCATAAGTTCTTTCGATGATAACGAAAGCACTGTATTCAAAGTTATCGCATCCCCTATTCGTTATCCCCTTTAGTGTAGCGCTTCTTTAATACTGAATATCATGTTATGGCGCAGAGTGAAAATTTGTATCAGTTTTGGATTCAATTTGTATTAAATCTGAATTAAATTTGAATTACAATTTGTTAAGCCTTGGGTTCAAGTCATACGCTGTTGAATGATTACTTATACAATATTAGAAAGTCTGATCTGAATTTATGTTTCTGGCATGAGGAAGTATGGAATGATCATAACATGTATTCTGCGTTCGATATTGATCAGGTAGAGAAATCGAAACGTTTGGAATTTATGGAATGTTCGATCCGTTTTACTATTACGTACTGAAAAAATTTTCAATTATGTTAGTCTTCGTTAATGGGGTCCTGTTAAGTACGTTATCCTGTTGATTACGTTGATTACATCTTTTTAGTAATCGATGAAGTCTGTAACTTATTGAGAAATCAACGAAAAATTATATGAAAGATGTAACTTTAGTCAGCAGAGCCATCCGTTTAGGGGTATGTCAGAGGAGATAGTTGGAAGGAACCGAGTATATAGGTACATAATACATGCAACGGTATTAGGCACATCTGAATACCCACGGTTGTCCCACGTAAAGATGGAGTAGGTACACAAAGTTGCCGGGTTGTAAGAAAGAGCCGGTTTAACCCACAAGACACACCTATAGAAATTGCAGGCGCTCAGAAGCGATGAATCCTATATTAAGTGGTCGTGTCTCTGAAGGCGGAAACATTGTGGAAATGAATAGGTTCTCGGTAATCGTTGTTTTCATGTCGTTTAATGAGCGGAGCGTACTAGATTATTAATCACAGAGGCATTGTACGGATAAACAATCGACTGGAGTAAGAAGTAACGTATTTTCTAATTATATTTTCTCTATGTTATCCTCGTTTGTTTATAACCTTATGATTTAATATTTCACTTTTTTATTCTGTCCCCCTTCTTGTTATTTTGGCCAGTAGTTATCATGTCATATTACAAAATTTCTTCAAAAGCAATAATAACTAGCTGGAAGAACTGCACTTTTCTATGTTCGTTACAGGGTGGACAATATCAGGCTAATTGAGCTCAGATCTATAACATTGGTATATGTTTACAGTTAAATCTATGAATCTTGCGCGAACAGTGAGATTCGCGGTTCAACGTTTTCATCGTTCAGTTTTCGATTGAAGAGGAATTTACATGATTTTTATAACATCTTTTCTTTCCTAAACAAGTACAGTGTAGAAATGATAAGATTGTTAAGTAAAGGGATGCGGATATAAAATATTTCATAGCTCCACTAACGTTTAAAGTCTAATAGTCCTACACTGTCCGACATGTATTTCTGATATTAATTGAAACGAGCGTATCTACAAATCGACGAAGAGCTACGAAGGACTACGAAAGCGTTAAAGATGGAGACTGTACCGCTAAGAAACCTGTCATCTCTGAACTGTACAGTCCTGGCTATCATGTGACCGGATTTATAAAAAATTAGGGCACTGTCTGGAAGGTGTGGTAGAATGTCAGTAGAGGATCGTCCAGCGTAAAACGACCGATAGATTGTGCGCTGCATTGCAAGGGATATTGATTTACAGTCCCAAAAGATAGTTCGCTAAAGTCTGGATGGTAAAAATGAAATGTGCGCTTACCTTCTCCTCTGGCTGAACTTTCGAGCCTATGCAGCACTCCCAGCCCAACACCTACAGTCGGGGACAGAATTATGTGGATAGATGTTGGTCAAACGTATCAATGCAATTTAAACAATTTCGTGTTGGTGGAACATTGGAACAAAATAAGATAGAACAAATTAATGTTTGAATCCTTCAAAAATTGTTTCATTTCTTCTGCAGTATATTTCGAATCGCTATCCTGTTATAAAAATTATTTCTCGATTCCAATTTTTAAAATGGTCTGCTCCAAATCTTCATTTAATATATCAACGTATTTGTCTAGATTCATTATATCATCGATTTTAATTGATGTATCAATCTCGTACTATGAAAAGCAGCCCACACAATCAATGCTTCCCCGCAAACTTCCGCAGTTGGTGTAATAAATTGCTATCTGTATATTTCATTTCGTGTTCTTCGTACTTGATGCTTCCTTTTTAACTGCCGCTGTTCTAACTTGCTATCGTTGCTCCATACTATATTCTTCCAAAACGAAGGAAACTCAGATTGGCCTCCACAAGCCCTTTCCCTTGGTCCTTCACGTAACGGCTCGAAGCTTGGTCTTCCTAGAGTTAATGGTTATCCTACCCAGTACCGAATTTCTTTAACATTTTAATCGTTACGTTACCTATATGTAGGCTATATTTGAATTGGGTTTCAACTAGACTATTTTGTCTTGTGGATAGGCTAAGTCCGCTTCTTTACTAGCTCGTGAAATTCATTTAGAATTTATAGTACTGCCAGGAATTTGCATAGGTGAAGTTCTTGCTTGATAATAAAATGCGATGAATTCAATGCGGTGCTGTGCAAGCTGGAACTGTTCAAAGGGTAGGGGATTAATTAATTTAACACTTAAACTATTTTAGTTACGTAGTTAATTAAGCTCACGGCCAGACTATAATGATGATTATTCTGAATAAGTAAAATACGAAATGTAACGTAGGTGCAAAAGTATCGTAGAATTACTTGAAAGTATAATAAATACATGTATATATTTATGCCTGAGTAAAGCGTCATTGACGAAACGAACTGCCCTTGAACACTAATTCGCTACAGTATTGTTTGGACTTCAATTAGAACACGAAAAATGTTACCTATAAATCTTACTGTATAAGAAAATGCTTTATTCAAAACATAACGATATTTATTGATAGGTCAAGCAAACTTTTGGTTGATTCAATAGAGTAATACATAAAGATCTATAGTCATCAGTTTTGCTTCAGTTCTGTGATAAATATCATTGTGATGTTACTCACCGAACTATATTATGATTTTACATCATTATAGGAGCCCTTTTCTGGGTCAACATGGCCCTACAGGCCGAATAAGACCGCCTCTGCTAGGTCTGCCGAGTCTGCCGAGCTATCCGAGACCAGGGATACCTCACCAACCATCACCACCAGTTTCTGTACCAGTCACTATACCAAAAACAACCAAGTTACAGCCGGAAGAGGTGAAGCAGAGTGAGGGGAAGATAGATGGCAGCGCTCTCGGTTCAAGCGTACGATCTATAGAGGAGAATGAGGTCGAGGGGCCACCCTCGAACATAACACCTGCTGAGGCACCACCTTCCCAGGATATTTCGATGACTTTGGTGCCGGTCACGGCAGTTTGTGTGCTTGTGGTGGGCCTCGGGATGGGAGTATGGTCCCTGCGGAATAAATTTTGCGGCACTAAGAAGTCGAAAGAAGACACGGTGCGTAACCTTGTCAATTGCACCCGTTCACGAGCAGTGGATCGAAACATGAGAAAGCGTGCCGAATGGCAAAGAGATTGATGTTCCAGTTTCATTCTGAATATTATTATAACTATTAAAGAAATGTATTTGTTTGTAGCTTTGTTTGTACCTTTAAGTATGTGCTTTGGACTTATAAAACTCACAATCGACTAATCTAAAACTGTTCTTTTGACATTGACGTTACGTATTTCTAATTCCGCGTTATCCTTTGATCAGTAGTTTTTAAGTTAAAAATTCCCCGTTGACCTAACGTTTCTCGAGGAGCTAAATCTTATTAACGACGACAACCTTCAAATTATTTTCTTCCATTTCTTTCGGAAATTATGAAGCTATTATAAAAGTTTATTCTATACGAATAAAGATATGGAATTTGACAAATAAAATATTGTATCCAGATAAAAACAAAGGAAACTGCTCTCGCTATTTAACACGTTTCATAATCTCCACCGAACAAGAGATACAATAGGAAATGAATAAAATGAAATATTGAGAAATTTTGTCGGTATAATTGAACGATATATTTGATAAATATCTGTACCTCGGTGAATGTTAACACATTTTTACGTTAATTGATTTCAATTAAGTTTCGAATTACTATTATTTAATCTTTTCTTTTTAATTATTTCCATTATTTTTTTATAGAAAGAACAAGCTTCGGTCAGTGTCTCGAATATATCAGACGATCCATCTCTCGTTCTAAAAAGGTGGCGTGGTCCGAAAGCTCATAACAATCGATATGAACCCTGGGAAAAAGACAGTCAAGGCGGTATACAAAACAAACATGAAGATAAATGGGAATTTCCGCGACATCGATTGAAGGTCAGCGGCAATGTTAAATGGCAATGCAGGGTGTTTATGAAAAACATGAAATATCCTTGTAAATTTGACTCTATTTTTATTGTACGATACATATAATTATTCCTTTAAATTTTTAAATATTTAAAAACGATAAAAAATGAACAATTTTCTGTTAAATTTTCTCTATAAATCTCTTGACGATTGTATACTATATTTTTAAAACATATAAGTGAAAAATAGAAAAGTATTTCTAATTACAACAGCAATATCGAAACACTGCGGTCACGTCCATGTAAAAATTACTCCCACTCTTAGTCATGAGCGGTGAAACTATTATGCATAGCATATAGTGTGATTAACCTATAGATCTTAAGATAATATAATAATACCTATGGTAATTGTTGGAAGGATAGAGAATAAATAGTTATCTGCTGAAATTATTACAGGTTTTCAATATCCTTGGAGAAGGCTGTTTCGGTCAAGTTTGGAAATGCGAGGCTCTGGACATCGATGGAACATCCGGCACCACGATAGTTGCTGTGAAAACTTTAAAAGAGAACGCGATGGAAAGAGAACGATTAGACCTGGCGCAGGAATTAAGAGTCATGAAAAATTTGGATCCCCATCCTAACGTGGTCAGATTGCTAGGTTGTTGTACAGAACGCGAACCAATGTTCGTTATTTTAGAGTACGTAAGCGGTGGAAAACTGCAAAGTTTCCTGAGGGCATCTAGGGAAGAAAGAAACCATGGAGGACCTGGATTAACATCCAGAGATTTAACTGGTTTCGTTTATCAGGTATATCACTCATGTTTTAACGGTAAAAATTCATCTGCTTCTATATCGAATCTAACTCACGGTTATGATACAAGTTCGATCAACTTCAACTAAGGGCTAATCAAACTTCATTTTTAAAGATTTATTTCCAGTTGCAATTTAAGTGTAACCTAAAACTACTTTAAGTGTAATTTAAGTTTAACTCGCATTTAGTATGTTCAATCTATATTAATCTTGACTCAGATTCGCTTAAGTTTAATTCGAATTTTTCAATTACTGTTTCTCTAAACAATCTATACAAGTGTAATAAATAGGCCGAGGCGAATCGGGACAGTTTAGATTTAATAATTCATTTATTCAGAAAAACTAATAGTTAAAACTTAGAATGAAAAATTTGTTGTTTGACCCAAAATTGTACAACTGAATGATAACGAAATTACTTATTGACACATTTATCGTAAATGTACTACCTTTTACACTACATCTATTAGGTTTCGTGACACGATTCTTCCTGAGGATTGCATTGAATCCAATCTTTTGATGATAGGTGGATAAATTTTTCAGTACAGTAAATGCAATATTATTCTCTGGAAGATCCTGTATTTATGTTATTACTTCGTCTGTCCTTGTTAGTCTTCATCCTCCTTTTAATAGTGATCTTGTTTGGCCCAGTCTTTAACTTCTTTTGTTGTTTTTCAAGAAGTATCATTTTATTGACAGATACTATCAAATGTAGAATTGTTTTTTTTTAATTATTCTACAAGTGAATCGTCATTTTAGGTTTATACAAAGTATGTGATAAATTCCCGAAGCTTGACGTAT